CGTCACGGGGATGGGGGAAATCCGTCACGTGGGTGGGGGGGGGGGGGGGGGGGGGGGGGGGGGGGGGGGGGGGGGGGGGGAAATCCTGGTGAGATTTAACGAGGGAGAAGCGTGTCGCATCGAGAGTTCATGCCAACACTTCCTTGATTGGAGAGGAATCTTCCAGATTCTGACTGTGACCGGGAATGACCGCAAGGGATGAAAGTAACGCGTATTCAATCGGATAAAGTATACCTTACATTAAATTTGACTACACAATTTCCACGAAAGGCACCGTCATTACATACCTAATATAACCGATTCCAAAACGATTTTACACCCATGGAGGTAAATTTATTTTTAGGAAATCCCAGGACCAATTGTTAGGGGATGCAACTTTTAATGGAACGAGCTTGCACTGAAACGCGGTAAAGATTTGAGCCGTTTGAATGGCTCCTAAAAGCCATTAAAACGGCTTTCAGGTGGATTCCCCCGATTTTCCAACTTTAGGATAGATATTCCATACACCCGACACGATAACCCTCGTTCGAAATCTTGAGGCGTTTCTCAGGAGGAGCGTCCCGTCGAAGGCGGAACTCATCGCTCGTTCCCGAGACGAGAAGAATCGCCAGCGATGCCGAAAGGCGGGAGCGACCGCTAAGTGACCGCGTCGACGGGTCGCCGTTTCGGGGCCTTTTGGTGCCGAGGGTCTGGTGGAGGCGGAGGTGGACGCTTTCTCGTTTCCGTGCCGTTGCTTCGTCGGGGTCGAGAGGAAGAGGTCACCTTTAGGCGTATCGATTTCATCATGATAGATAATAACTGAATGTTGCGATGGGAGATGGGATTTTCTCATCGCGGCTTTTGACGTCATGAATGCCACATCGACTAGGTAGATGAAAATTTTTCAAGTGGTCGATGGAATCGAGGCACGAATTCTATAGTTAAAGGTGAAAGAGTAGGTTGTGAATTAACTGCAGCCCTGCCATCTGGTGTTTTTTCTCGAATAAACAAGGTTTCCTGGAGAGAAGAGTGATGGCGGAAGAATTCGTCGTTCTTTCGAGTCATTTTAAGTGAGTGATAGAAACACTCTATGAAAATGATTTTTCGCTGCGGTTAAAGTCGAATCTGCGACGGTTGTCGACAAGAATTTACGACGTCCCATGAAGTCTTTTTCAGCTGTGAGCTATGCTGTTTGTCCGGATTTCAGAGGCGACCGGAAACAGATCCGACGAGAATGAAGAGCCCCATAACGCTTGGACTCCTGCGGTCGGGGATCCTGGTCCCCAAGGAAAAACATTGTTTTTCGTGCTGTCATGGTATTTTCTTGTTTGCGGGGGGAGGAAATCTGGCTGAGATTCGACGAGGGAGATGCGCGTCGCATCGAGACTTCATGCCAATACTTGCGTGATTGGAGAAAAGCGGAGGACAATTTTCCAGTTTTGGACTTTTTAATCAGGGATGACTGCAAGGGATGAAAGTAACACGTAGTCCATCCGGACATTCGCGAGGCGTCGCATTTATAAAATAAACGCTAAAAGTTTGTTTTGTGAACAGGAATTTCTAAGACTGAGCAAAGTTCATGCACCGTTTTTGCGTTTCCACCATAACGAAATTCGAAACGAGTTTACGCCTATCGAGGTCATTTTCACGAGTCATATTGTAACCCGTTAGAGTTCACGAATTCAAGTGATGAAAGCGAAGATGAGCTCCTTCCAATTTAAATTCAAATATTTGAAACTTTGCAATTTTTCTTTTAAGAACTCCCTGGACCAATTCTTAAGGGATGCCGATTTTAATTAGAGTGCACCCATATGCTGTAAAGGGTTTTGTTTTATTTCTTGGATGCTTCTATAGGCCGTTCATGCGGTTTGCTGGTGGATTCCCCCAATTTTGTCACTTTTGGATGCCCAATCCTGAAACGTAACTTCACGATAATCCTGGTTCGTAATGCAGATGCGCTCCTCTGGAGGAGAGTCCAGTCGAAAGCGAACTCATCGCATATTCCTGAGACGAGAAGAATCGCCCCGGAACTTCAGAGCCGGGATTGAATTATCCCTGCGTCCGGGCCGTTCGGTTCCGAGGTTCTGGTGGAGGTTGACGGGGACGCTTTCTCGTTTGCGTGCCATCTCTCCGTCGGGGTCAGGAGGACGCGCCATCTCTGTCGGGAGAAGGGAGGCATGATAGGAGGCTACACTGCATTCGACTAACTTTTTTATCGTGAGCTTCCTTGCTTTTCGATTATTAGTAAAAAGCTACACACTACCTTGGCACTTGCACATCCAATTTTCATGTGAACTTCAATGTTTTGTGGGCTCAGGGAAAGCATCAAGGCAGTGCCTTGCACCTAATTACTTATTTTTAGGAAGCCGCAAGAACTTTCATTCGCCTAGACAGCATTTGTCTGGCTCTAAAGTCGTGTAGCTACGTCATCTTCTCTCGGTGCTGAAGCATTTTCAGTCAGGTCTGTCGGTGTTCGTCCCCTAGCCGTCGACGACTGCACATCCAATTTCATCACAAATATTCAGATTTGCCAGTTTCCTTGATTTTGTATCTGTACGTATGTCTATTTGCCTGTCCCGGGCTTTAACCGCACTCTAGCAGGAGTTTTTATTTAATTTTTAGCATGAGATATGGTCTCCATGGTAGGTTCTGAGTCTTCCCTTCTCAGCCACTCGACTTCATCTCGAGCGGAAATGAACGCGGTTGCCATTTCAAAGATGTCGAGTAGTCCCAAATGAATTTCGAATCGATCCTCATGGTCGATACCCTCATCACATATTCCTCTTAGAACTGCTGGAGGAAATATCCTATGACTTGCGTTATTAACTCATTAATTCCCTTCTTAATTATTCTTCCACATATAGAAATCCAGTGTCAATATCCTTATTTCTAATTGCAGTGCCCACATTTTTACGACCGTAAACTTAGTATTGCTACTTTCTTGCAGAAAATCGAATACACGAACTTCGAAATTTCCATTATGTGAATGAGGACTGATTTGCATTCATGATCTTCTGTGGGAACATCAGGATGCGTTGAGTTAATTGACCGCACTGACATGCAGTGGAAATAAACGATATTGTTTTGACGTTGTGATAGGCAGAGGCTGGAAATTTGTACGAGGTAGTCGCAATGCTTGTCCCTATCCCCTACTCCTGGTTCCGCTGTTTCTTTCGCGTTATAGTGAACGCTTTTCTCGCTCACCTGCTTCCACGGTACATGGCGATACCCCCAGAAGATTTGGTAGAGAGCAGCCAGGGGGATGGCAGCCACGTTGAGGAGGGCGGTGAACCAGCCGAGCGTACGGGCAAAGGCTGGGTATTCGTAGCCTCCCACCGTCAGGGGACTCACGTAGCTGCACGACCAGATGAAGATCACCTGCGAAGGCATTTCCATGCTCTCGGTGTACTAGACATGCTTTCGTGAATTGCGAGCGCCATCTGTAAGTTTTGATCGACTGCGAACAAAATAAAAAATTCGCAACTGACCAGCAAGACCAAAGGAGTGACCGTGATGTAGAGCACTATCAGATGGCTTTTCAGCTTCTGACCAGGGTCGAATCCAACCATCTTCTTCAAGACTACAAAGAGGGGAAAAAAAAAGAAAATTCATAGCTAAAACCAATTCTTTCTCGTAGTTGGACATTCGTCAGCCCTTTTACACTGCGAGAACTCGTGCAGTTGGAGACAAAGGCCTGTTTTCAGCTTCACCTCGCGGATTCGATGCTAAAAATATCAATGATGCGTAAAATTTCATGTCAAGATTCTAATGCAATAGAGAATTTTATTCCTCATTAGCCGCGTTAAAAATGTCAAGTGATGCTGAACTCCATAACTATTTAGTATTTATCGTCTGTCTGTCAAATTCAAGTTAAAAGTTGAAATATAATTGAAATTGGTTCATTAAATATAATGAATCTTGAATCTTGAATCTTGAATCAATATTTTAATGTGATGCAATTAAAGTAAGATATGTCTGAGTGCTTTTAGTGAGGTGTTGAATCTCCCTAGTGGGATACATTTGGTTAACCCACGGTTTTTTTAAACCGCTGGAAATGGTTTCATGGTATCACCTCCTGAGATAAAAAATAAACCAGTTTTGCTGCTAATTATGTTCACCCCTGAGAGAAACGGAATCATCAGGGCATTCGGATAGCAGGAATTTTATTTTAGTCGAAGCATTGTCAGAACTTATTATTCAATAATTCCTGCAGTGATATAAAAAATTTAAGTAAATTAAGAATGAAATAATAGGCAACCATCGTTTTGGGAAGAGGAATGAAAAGCCAATCGAAAGTTCGAGGAATGAAGACGAAATTCAGTTTCCACTGAGGAGGGTCAATTTCCCCTAAATTCCAAAAAACTCGGCATTTTCGACAATTTGCATGTTCATCGACTTTGAACTCGGGAACTCACCCGATAAAAAGTTTCCTACGCCGTAGACGTAGATGACAGCCACGAGGATAGCGATTTCCATGAAAATGGCTCTTGGAGCGTTGGCGTAGTAGTCCATGAAGTTCATGATGAATGTCCCGCCCTGAACAGCGCGAAAAATTGAGAACCTTCCCAAGATTAAATACATTTTTGGTGCTATTTCTACCTCATTAGTATGAATAAAGACGACTACTTGAATTTTTTTCAAAATTGCCACAGCAAGTTTTTTAAGACAGCGCCTCGGAACGGACGAAACCTGTTCAAATTTTATCCGGTGGGAGATGGCGAGTCTATTCATGGTCTATTTATGGTCTATTCAGAGTCTATTCCTCGCTTTGTCTTCAGACAGATGCGATTATCATCAGATAAACATCATAGCATCAGATAATCTTGAGATGAGAAAACCCCACTTTAAATATGCATAATTAACTTTCAGAAAATTTCTGCAACTGTGTAAATCTGGCAACCCTGAATGGGAGTAGACGTTGAAGAGTAATGAAGAGAAATGTACGCTTTGCCCACCGGTCTCTTTGGGATCGAGTCTGCTTTTCGCTAAAATGAACTTCGACGTTTGATCAGACAAAAAAAAAATCCATATTATGTGGAAGCAGAAGACCAAAATGATCCTAAATCGGTCATCCCGCTCCTGAGAAGTCTGTCCTCTGGCGGAAAAAGATTGGAATTGATTTTCGGTCGAGCTCTCGAGATGGAAGTCCTTGAGGAATGGAAAAACTAAAAGAGAAAATAAACTTAAAACGATAAGAGTGGCACTCGCCCCGGTGGAGTAGATGAGGCCGGCGAGGAATCCGAAGCAGCAGATGCAAAGGACCAGCCTGCTCTCGCACCTCCTCAGTCGCGGGAAGTGGTCCTATGATGAAGAAATGCAAGGAATGTCGCTCATGGCGTTTGTAACAGGTTTACGAAGAGACTTTGAATATTTTTCAAGCGATTGCTAAGTAATTAAGGGCCGATTGCATGAACGATGTTTATNACACCTTTTTCAGCTTCTGTTAGACATCGGTTAGACAATGGTTAAAGGGAGATAGCGTTCATGCAATCCATTTTTGACCTTAGACATCGGTTAACCGATGACTTTCGAAAACCACCGGGAAAACATCGTTCATGCAATCGGCCCTAAATTTTTAGGTTTTGTATGCGACGAGTTCCGTGAAGATACCTGGTCAAGGAAATGTTCGTTTTCGTTGCAGTAAAAAATGTGAAAAAAAACTCAAAAGCAGGGTGTAATTTTTATGTGAGACGAGCCGTTGTAGATTCCGGGAAAAGGAACCACAGACTCACCTTGAGATGACCGGAAATATTTTCGGCCATGGCGAATGCGGAGTCCAATCCCAGCGTGATGAGCATCAAGAAGAAGAGAACAGCCCAGAGATTAGGCAAGGGAAGTTGGGCGATGAGCTCGGGGTATGCGATGAAAGCCAGGCTCGTCCCGTCCCGCGCGACCTGATATTGCAGCAATTTAAACAAAATTCTTTACATCGTTAGGGATTTTTTGGTGCCAGGCGACTCCCAGGATCTTCAGGTCAATATTGGACTTGCTAGGAGATCGCGAAACAGCCAATAAATGCGGGATGAAAGTCCAACAGAGCAAGAGATTAGTTTCCAGATCACATTTTTGGAACATGCTTTGATGCGTGTCTTCTTTGAATTCCATAATTTCAAGTCATTGTGAGGGTTGCAGTATTTCATAGGTAGTTAAGTCTCCATGCCTTGAAACAGTCTCTGGTATCGGCGTGCAGGACTTTTCAGACATAACTCGTTCTTTACAGAAAGGACTGCGGGAAGGGGGGATGTAGTAAATTGAAAACCAGTTTTCAATGGCTTCTTCACCCCCCCCCCCCCCACCTCTACAGGACTCACTAACGTTAGACCTAGGCCTAACTAGGGTTGCCACCTTTGAATTTAACAACATATGGGCAAATATTCTAAATATACCCACAGCCTCCTGAAGCCAAGGCACCTATCGATACTATGAGTGTGGTCTACTGCTTTTGACTCAGAAAATAATATTAGCTGCTATTAAGCTTTATTAAGTTAAAGAACCTTAACAAGTTTAAAATATGGACAAAACAGTGCCCATATTAGGACGAGTTTGCAGTATGGACATTGCACCTGAAATATGTACTGTCCATACTAATTATGAACAGGTGGCAACCCTGGGCCTAACCAACACCTACCCTTTTTATTTTCAAAATAAACTCAATTCTCGACTTATGGCGCAAATTAGACCTACTGTATAAGGGCGAATCGTGGTCTTCGAGACGTCTGGTTGAGAACGTGCAACGTTAGGTCAATCGCAGGCCTATTCATACACTGAAATGGTTCATGAAACGCGAAACAGACCTCCAATCGGTCTAAAGTTCCACGTCCACTCTGAAATGGTTCGTGAATGTGGGACGTGGAACGTTAGGCCTATCTGGAGTTCCTTGAGCCATCTCGAATAGGTCTGAGTTTTGAATGCTTTCAAGAAACACGCAATCCGTGGTACGCGCCATCCTGTTAATTCAGGGATGTCCGGAAAAGATATCCTCATATTCCACCACATCGATCGATAACTGCTAACCACCACTTCATTCTCAGCTCAACTCACGAACTCAGCACGAAAATTTCTCATGCATTAAAAAACAAGATCCAGAGGCAATACGAAGGTTGAAACAGTCTTGAATCTGGCATGATTTCGGCACGATATCCGGCAACACTGGGGGGCGGTACCGGAGCAGGCACTCTAAGCCTAATTAAACGACAGCTAATTTCATTTTTTTATGGCGAAATTGAGCATCGCAAACAGCAAAAAAGCCCCTTTTCGTCATCTACGAGTCAACATCTTTCATATGGTTGGTCTCTTTCCTCCGAAAACCCCCAGGAGTGGCTACCCGGGGGAAGGGAGGGGAAGGGAGGGGGGGGGGGGGGGAGGGGGGGGANATAATTTCCCTCAAAGTGCTGGTTTTGCTAGCTCTTCATCGGGTTTAGCGGCGCTTGTAGCCGCATGTCTTCATGCAGTAGGTCTTGAAGTATCTTTGTCTCAATTATCTTCTTTGGCACGACTGGGATCAGCTTCAGCGAGTCGTGCTGTTTTTCCAGGGTGGTCGATTTTTCTTCGTGAGTCTAAGTATGCAGTGTGGAGAGTGGGAATGGGGGAAGGGGGGGGGGTAGGCCATGTGGAGAGTGGGTGGGAGCGAGGGTATGCAAGGGATTCTGCCCTAGGAAGTGTAGGAAAGGTGAAAGACTCTTGTAGCTGCGACTAAAGCATGCAAGCACTCGTTGGTGGTAGCGAGTCGTTTCAGCACAAGTAGCTTTCGGTCGTCGATTAGCATCCGCGAAGGGCAATGACGGTCGTAGGAAATCAACAAGTTCGTTGAAATTCCTTAGGAGTCGTTTGATTTCTGTGTCATTCGGCTCATAATTTGTGTGCCCTGATGTGAAAAATTAGATGGGTCAATGGTGAGACACCGAGCAATTCCAATGCGTGATAATTCATTTATGCTTTTAGAGCGTAGGTGATCTTCAGTCATTTCCAGGTGGCTCGTGCTTTATACCTCCATTCCTGCCAGGAAAGATCAATAGGCGCGGTAGAGCTTATTATTACAATACCTTTCTTCAACCCCTTCTGCAGCAAAATTCAACCTCTTCGTATTTCTCTCTCAGAGCATCAACAGGAATGAAATTCGGCATACTCCTTCCTCTTTCAACACAGAATCACTCCAGTAAATTTGAAGCTCCTTCTCCCCGGGGTTGTGGAGAGAACCGAATCTCGTTTGTGGAGGATTTGAATTTCATTCCGATTTTTTTCCCTTCCCCCTCTGGGACCCCTCCCCCCCCCCCCCCCCCCCCCTACTCCTGGGGGGTTTTCGGAGGAAAGAGACCAACCATGAGAAATATATTGACTCGTAGATGACGAAAAGTGGCGACGGCAATCTCATCACAGGCGAAACGCAATAAGATCGGTTTTCCAGCGAAAATAATGTGGGTGCAGAAAATAGTCAAGAGATAAGCAAGAGCAACGAGAGAGAGCAAAGTCTTGCAAGAGGCAAAGAACCACCGAGGCGGCTGGTGTTTCCTCCGCCGACAGGCGACCTGCCTGCTTTCATGGGGATCGTCTGCTTAGCGCGGGAGAACACACATGCCAATTTGTGTGCCACAATGAGATACGGTTGCAGTTCACCTTAAAAATCACTCGTGTCAGTCATGGGCTTAGGCAACCTGTGAGTTGCCCCTTTGGCCTTCTATAGGACCGTCGAGGGGTGTCCCAGCCTGAGGGACTGATACGGATGTGGCGTCCGTGCCAAGCGGGTACCCCCCTCCTCTCTGTGTACTATTATAGGTTCGTTATCGTTTTTGTCCCAGCATGTTCTGTCTCAAAAAGTAGAGGCAAAGAACCTGCTCGGATGAAGAAAAGGTTCTGACCTGATCTACGGGAACTTCTAGCTGATGCGCCATGAAGCCGAGAGTAGAAAAAATGGCGAAGCCCCCAAAAATGCTGGTGAGGCTGTTCCCCAAGCAAACCGCCCACGTGTCCCTGCAATGCAGATGGCATGGGAAAGTTAAGCATATACACGACCTTCAGCCAATGCTGCACGATAAGACTGCTAAGGAAAGAGGTGGGAGGCTTAGCAAGGACAATATAAATCAATTCGATCTCGAGCAACGATGGTTGAATTCCTTGCGTTGCCTAAATATATATGAAATTGGGAACAGAATAAAAAGAGACGTCGACATGAAAAGGACTCACCTGACAACGTTGTAGTTGAAATGATTGTAGGAGGCCAACGTGATGAGGCCACTTCCCCCTAGGCTCAAGCTGATCAGAATCTGATAGAGAGCTTGCTCCCAAACCTGTGGAAACCAAATAACTGAAGTATATTGTTTTTCCTTTCTTGGAAGCAAAGAAAAACCTATCGACTAGGCTAGACTAAGCAAGCAATTTTTTTATGGTCTTTGAAATTACGCCAAGCTTCCTCTTGGATTCCGGGTTCACACTATGCTTTTTATCGTTCGAGCTTCCGAGGGCAAAGTTATGCAGATGAGCAAATATATATTCGATTCAGTCCTCTAAAGGAATTATAAGGTGACCATTTGGTTGTATCAGTACAATTCGCGAGCGTTCACCGACAAAATCGGCTGGAGTAATTTTTTTCAGAGCAAATCTTGTGCTTTTAGCTTCTTCAACGGATTTAACGCGTGAAACACGAGCACAAGTATCGATAACCTAAGCCAACCTGACTCAGCCTAAGCTTTGGAGAAATAGCGAGGAAGAGGATCTCGACCTTGATGTTCCAGACTTTGTCCCATTGAGGGACGATGTAGAAGCGGATTCCGTCCATGGCACCGGGCAAGGTCACTCCCCTGACGAGAAGAGCCACCAGGACGACGTACGGGAAGGTGGCCGTGAAGTACACCACCTGGAAGATTCCGGAGGTCAGTTTCTCTTTCGATCTATGCATTCCACGCGAGGACATCTCTGCGACTATATTTCCAGGAGGCAATGCATCTGCCACTTCCGACAGCTGCATCGCGTGGTGATAATAGAAAACTCCACGCACGCCACATCGCAGATACGTGGTTGCACTTATAACTCGTTTGCCACCGAGATATTGCGAAATTCATTAGAACTCCCTTCGATATCGATATGATATACACATGTCTTCTTGTTAGGAAAAAGAACATACGAAAGGAAGAGAAACACAAACTCAGATCTTCGATGAAGTTTAGTTGGAAAGTGAATGTTTATTCAGTCTTGCCTTGCCTGAGGTCCGTATTCCTTTGCAGAGACAAAGGAAGATCAAGGTCCAAGCTGCGAAATAAGACAGGACCAGTCGCCATTGAAGAGTCCCCAGTTCTTCCAGACCGGACGTGATTCCCAAAACTCTGTGTTTCATGTACTCCTCCGATGCTAAGGGGAAACGGAAAAGGTCCAAATGGTCGTCAGATTGCATTGCGACAGATTCTGGGCTTGGTTTTCACGAACCCTTGCGGTTAGCCAGAAAACGGAGCAGGGCGTAAGGTGGACACTCTTGATTTCACATTGGCTCACCTGAGATTCTCTCGCCCGGAAGTATCTCTGAAATTCCACCCATCTCTGCGAACGAGGCATTGAAGCAACTCCCGTTGAAGTACACGTTCGAAGCATCCTGTTCTTTGCAGCTTCGCTTTTCTGTATCACTGTAGCACTCTTCACACGGAAGAGATGACGTGAAGCTCGGACGTCCAGGGAAAATATATTAAATTTCGACAGTTAAAACTCAAGCGATGGAAGGATACGGTAAGAAGTCAAAGCAGTCAAAGCGTCAATGAGCAAAAGCTCATTGACGCTTTGACTTCGAAATTCCTTATGTTCTTGTATGTTTAAAAGAAAGAAAGAAGGCAAAGAGAGCTTTTCAAGGATATCGAATTCGCCGTGATTGCGGCAAATAGTGCCAGGCGATGAATTGAAAGAATAATTTCAATGAGCATGCAATTTTTCTTTTGGGCTTGGATATTGGCCAATTTCTTTGGGAATTGGAGGCGGATTCAACTCACTGTGAGTGTTGTAGTCCTGGCCGCAGTGAGTCCAAGGGAGATCCGGTTGGAAGGACAGCCCGAGGTAGTACAGGGACCAGGAGATGACGACGTTGTAGGCGACGATGCCCTTGCAAGATCCCAGGAACGCGGCGATTCCGATCCCTTTCAACGAGTTTCATGAATTGAACGCTGAGAATACGAGGGGCCAGGACGGAATGAATGAATGAATGAATGAATGAATGGACATGCGAGGATCGGAGAGGGGTGCGTGAGCATGAATGTATCAGCTGTTACTCGTGAAACCTTCACGTCTTCCAAGCCGAGACCGATCGACTTCCGTCTCATTCAAATGAGATGTCTTACTGGATTTTTGAACATATATATTTCGTATCAGTGGCATTTACGAGTCCTGTCATTGCCCCCCCCCCCTTCCCATATCCCAAATACAAATTTTCAGGGTATTCCCTCAAACATTGAAATGAGACACACCATGAGAATTTGGAACTCTCAAATATCAGATGGAGAATGCGGGGTGCTTCGAGTCATTAGAGACTCCGCAATTTTGCCGGCATGCTAATTTTCTGCGAATTCTCCTTGCATTCAAGTGAGCCGCGTCGTTCGAATTTCGGACGCCCGAGAGTAGGATGAACTGGAGATGATTTTGAGCTCTGCACGGGATTTAGTAATCACGTTATATTTTTCATAAGCGATGATGGGAATTAAAACCTATGGGGAATCACAGCATTGAAATTGTTTTCCTTTTCCTCCGAATCCGTTTTACAACATGTCAATGCAACAGCTACCAGAGTCTCACCAGCAAACAAAGGTGACATGTTCGAAAAGCACTTGATCGGAGTGAGGGCTGAGAATTGACCGATGGTCAATTCGATGAGGAACATGGGAATCCCGACGAGGAAGAGCATGAAGGTGTAGGGAAGGAGGAAAGCACCTCCTCCATACTTGTAGCAGAGGTATGGGAACTTCCAGATGTTCCCCAACCCTGTTGAAGGGCAACAGACAAGAAATGCAAATCTCGCCAAACTCGCCCTCATAGTAAAGTTACGAAAATGCCTTAGGAACAAATAGGAACAAATAGGAATCCTATAGGTTCCTATAGGGTTTTGTTTGAAGTTCTCCTCCAGGCCACTAGATGGAGGTAGGGAGTTCTTGCATTTCTCATAGTACACAAAAGTGCCCTCCCCTTACCCAAGGAATCATATCTCACAAGAGAGTTTTGTAGATCCCCAAATGTCTCGCCTTGCCTCATTGTAGCAATCAATAAGCTTCGAGACTTCCTTATTTGTCATCCCCATTTTCCATATAGAATCATGGAGTCCAGGCCAGAAATATGCCCATGTTCCCTTTGAAAACTACGTACGAAAAAACGTAGATATTTACCTTCCTCAGCAACCCCTGGCCTGACAACACCACCTGGTGGCAGGCCGCGGACCCACCCAACCCCAAGACCTGGACTTCAACAACCTCTAAAGAAGCACCATCTGTCAATAACCAATCCTGTATATTCCACTTCCTCCCATCTTGTATCCTTTTCCTGTAAAGGGCATGTAGTATAATAAATGGTCATTGAACAAAAAAAAACAACAAAAAAAACGTAGATTTTATCCGAAAGGAATTTCAGTAAAGAGATGTGTTCGCAAGTTCTGTCTGTCGCTTCCATTGGTTGGGTAGAGGAATGATACTTCTCTTTACCTAAGGAAATGAACGCGCTATCCTGCGCAACCCAGCGACATATGTGTGTCTGGGCAATAAATAATACAGACGTAGACGTTACTAGTATTAGTAATGCAAGTGCCTCTACCATGAAAAACCTCTAATCGGTAATTAATTTGCAGCAAAATGTTGCGCCAATATTAACTCCGGTTGCCATTCCCGTCATAATGCCTGTGTTTCGAAACCCAAAAAAACCTCCTCGAATCCTATAGGTCAGGAGTCCTATACGACCCTATAGGGATCCTATAGGATCCTATATGTTTTTCGTGTTTCAAAAACCTATAGGAAAGTCTATAGGTTTCCTATTGGACATTTCCGTAAGGGTATACTGCTTACGTATCTTATAAATTTGACTAATCTTCAATGTTTTCCCCAGATAGTCCTCACAGGCTTTCCTTGTGGAAGTACTATCCACGATAGAGTAACGTCATGTATTCAGGCAAGCAGAAGAAGCACAATTGAGAAACGACATTACGACCAAACCCGTTTGGCTGCATGCACGTGAAAGCGGTGGACTCACCCACAGCGAATCCCAGAGCCGAGAGGAAGAAATCCAACTTCCCCGTCCAATGCCCTCTTTCTCCTCCCATTTTATATCTCACCTCACTCGGAACGATAAAAAAATAGCACTATGTAAGAAGGAGAAAGAATCCTTCCCCGTGCTCATCCGGGACGAGCTCGCGTGATGTGCCAGAGCGGACTCATTCTCTTCCCTATCCGCGTGCACGGAATCCATAATGACTTTACCACTCGCCCTGCGAATGCTGCCGGAAGGCATGTCCTTGTATTTGTTCCTCTCATCCATCACGTTCCGTCACAGAATGCGTAATTAATGTCGATTGCTATAGGGATCGACAGAAAAAGGGTTGGAGCAGATGTCGCTGGCTAAAAAATTGAAATGCTGACTACTGGTGGGGCGACAGAGAATATGATGTAATGTGTCGGCGGTAGTAGGTGGATGCATGTCCAGGTCGGTCATGCATGCGTATGATGTACCTAAGTCGAGAGTACTTTCTTGCTTGCATTTCCATCAGGCACTCATAGGGCAAGATCATATCTTTTAAGTTTTCGCGGCACGTGAGAGGTATGCGGAGACTGAACAGTTTGACAGTGATTTGGGATTAGCCGGTGCGTCGCGGGTCTCCGATTGAGTGCCACTGCACTGAGGAATTTATTCTCTAGATGTTGGGCGGCGCGGGGATCCAGATCGTGTTTGACGTTTGAAGTCCGTCTTTAAAGTGCTTAAGTTTGGGGGAAACCACGTTCCTGCTCCCATTCTCAAGTCGGTTATTCACAAGACGCCGCAAAAAAAAAACCGACTGAATGATCTTGGGAGAGCGTTAATGACTTTTTCCGCTACTGCACATGGAATGATCAAGTAAGGCTGATTGCGGAATGTGAAGATTCGTCAAGTTAGCTTGGAAAACACAAAAAAGATTTATATGCGCTGACCTTCCGTGTCGGCAGACCATGTTTAAATCGAGCGGTGGTCTTACGATCCTGTACAATCTGAATCTACGGGATCTCCATTTTCAGTGGCACGAACGGCGGGTATCCAATAACCTAGAGGTTATTGGATACCCAGCAGGGTGTCATCCAGTCTCGCCCTATAGAAATTCTAGTGATTGGGATCTCTCCTTCCAAATTTTGCTTGCTGTACTCTGACCTATGGCACTTCCTTGGGATGTCGGGTGTCCCTGCATGAAGGCTCCTTATGAGTGAGGCTGCCTGAAATCTGAAGTGAAAGTAAAACGTAAATTATAAGATGTGGAGAAATACACTGATGGGTACACTGTCTTTTAATACTTAAATTTCCTGTTTGGGATCACTACCAATGCTTTATATTTGCAATTTTATTGAGCGCCGAATAAAAAGCTCTTATTGACTTCTTTTTTTTTTTTAACGTGCTTGATGATTTGATCTTTGCTGCAAACTCGGACAAAACTTCCATGGAGCTACAGTGTCCATCTCACATAGCCTCCTCTCGCTATCTGAAATCTCATTGCATAAGTACTCGTTTCGATTAACATGTGTCAGCTTTGCAAGACTTTCCATTTATTTTATGAGATGGAAGCCTCGGGACATTCATTAGAACCAAGCAACACATTCCGAAGAATATTCCTGAGAGTCGTTGAATCTCCGGGGCAAGCCATCTTGATTCAGCCACTCCTGTGGATCCGATAGTTCAACACACACGGATGCGAATGTGCTTCGATTAATAACTTCAGTTGTCATGATGCATGATTGAAGTATTCGCATGAGGAGACAGACTTATTCAGAGGTAGCGTTAAGGAACGTGCGGTCTGGGGGTGTGAGGTCCGATTCGTCGCTTGCTGATGATCCAGGGGGTTCTTTCCCTGAAGCCTCTTGATTTGCGAACCATCTCTCAGTCGGGGTGACGAGAACCTTCCTTCTCTACGGGGAATTGGCATGCGAGATTGAAGAAAGAATCATGGACAAACGGAATATCGTCTCTTCTGAATAAAAGAGCCCGTTTTATGGCGTTACTGATAAAAAAAATGTAAATGGAGCACTGTAATGGTCGTAAATGAAGCATTCAGCGTTTGCAGTTTCTTTAGCTTCACGTTTTTCTGATAAAAAAAACATTAAACACTAAGGTATTACCTCAAACCTAAGGGTTTTCTGGGGTTATAGTTTGATTGTTAACACTTTAAAGAATCTCTAGAATTTTCTTTAACAATGAAAGCGAGTTCTAAGTTCTAGATTTGTTTTTTTTTTGTAACTCTAAGTTTCGCCGCATTTTCTTTTGCATGTTCATATTCCCAGCTGCTTCCATCATCTGATTCGACACCGAGAGAAGGTTTTACCGGCTAACCTGGTTCCACGGCACATGGCGGTACGCCCAGAAGGTCTGGTAGAGAGCAGCGAAAGGAATGGCAGACAAGGTGAGAAGGGCAGTGAACCAGCCGAGTATGCGGGCAAAGGCTGGGTATTCGTAGCCTCCTATTGTCAGCGGACTAACGTAACTGCAGGACCAGACGAATATCACCTGCAAGAGGGATTCAACGCATGTACCCAAGAGGCATGCTTTTACGAGACTCAAACGTTATAGACTGGAAATATTGAGAAGCATTAAACAATTGTGGAAGCTCTACGGCTCACCAGCAAAACCAGAGGAGTGACGGTGTTGTACAGTGTGATTAGATGACCTTTCACCTTTGAACCGGGTTTGAATCCAGTCATCTCCCCCAAGGCTAAGAAACAGAGGCCGAGAAACGAATTGTCATATATCACTTTGTTTCATGGGCTAAGCTGTCCTTCGATCAGTCTTTCGCTGGCATCGCGCAGCCTATTGTGAAAAAAAGTCAGGAATCCACATTAAACGTGGCAACGTGCAACTTATGCCAGTAAATGCTCATTGAGGACGATTCTCTATAGTGAAACTCACAGAGTAAGAAGTTTTCAATGCCGTAAAAGTGCATGACGGAGATGAGAATCATGGCTTCCAAGAAAATTTTCTTTGGAGCATCGGCATAATAGTCCAAGAAATTCATGATGAACGTTCCACCCTGAATTTAAAAAAAATTGAAGATGATGATTAAATTTAAATATTCCTAAAGCTTAAGCATTTCACGAATAATAATTTTTTAATAAGGTGATGCAATTTTTGCCACCACTGTAGCAATGCAATACTTTCGAAGTACGCATTTTGAATACTTTGGCCTGAACCTTAATGGTGCAGAGGTATAACTTTACAGGACTCGTGGCATTTCCAGTCTTAAAATAATCATAGTCACGGGGTCTATTGGATGCATTTTTTTTGTATGCAATGCAAAAAATGCAGATGCGCAGATGACGCCACATGAACTAAACTATGAATTTTAATATCCCTCTTCTAAAGCTATGAATGTATTAGCATGGTTCGATAAAATCTGGCTTGGTGTTACACATCTATTAGGGTGGAAAGTGGGGTGAGGGGGAGGGGACACGAAATAGAATGAAGTACACTCACCCCAGTGCAGAGGATGAGACCGAGAAGGAATTCGAAGCAACATATGCATAGCACCAATCGAGTCTGGCATCTTCTCAGTCTTGGGAACTGATCCTGTGAATTGGGAAGCTTCCAAAGTCAAATATACTTAGTAACTTCCGTACATTTTGTGAGAGGCCAAATATCATGCCCAACTTGGACATTTTGGTAAGGGTGGATCTGCAGAGAACATACTCCCCCAGGTGTGAAATCCTAATCTGTAATGGCCTATGACGCAATAGCTAGAAGTGCTAATTCACCGCATCGCATCTTGTGGCTCGCTACACCTCAACGTCAAACATTTTGCAATAAAGTTGGGAAGCAGTATTACAATAATCTTATCCGAGATAGGGCGTCGCATTATTTTTGGTGTCGGAACGGAAGGGTGGGAGAGGGAGACTTGAAGACCACCTTATCTTGAGACAGGGGGCTGAAGTCTTAATCTAATGAGGGAGACATTCCAACGGAAAGTTTGAGTTCACAAAAAACCCTAAGAGAACATAACGATAATTTACTTTAGTTAATGCGACAATTCCGAGACACTTCAAAGGATAATTATATCACTTGGGTGAAGTAAGTTCAGGTCGAATGAACTCACCATGAAATGACTGGAAATATTTTCGACCATGCCAAATCCGGAGTCCAAGCCCAGAGTGATGAGCATGAAGAAAAAGAGAACAGCCCAGATATTAGGCAAGGGAAGTTGGGCGATGAGTTCGGGATACGCGATGAAAGCCAGGCTCGTCCCGCCTCGTGCAACCTGAGGCGAGGCATCCTCTCTCCGTTCATCCGGCTCAATTTAAATGCGGGAAAGCCTATTTTCTTAGACGAAAAGGCCCTGACCTGATCGACGGGGACTTCCAACTGATGCGCCATGAAGCCGAGAGTGGAAAAAATGGCGAAGCCTCCAAAAATACTCGTTAAGCTATTCCCCAACCCCACTACCCATGTGTCCCTGCAGAAGATACGGTATGGGGTTGTACAATGATGCACTTGATGGCTTTACAACATACAGAGCTTCGAAGATCTCTATGAATGCTACTCTCATGAAGGACTTTTAATATGGCTACCTGGATATTGTAATTATCCCAAATATAAACTTCCAAGAATTTAACAAAGGTGTCACTAATGTATATATGGCTGCAAATAGATTGATGCGAAGCATCAGATGGCGAAGACAGGGTCATATACTGAAAGAAAGATGGCGGCCAAGCCCCGTCTAGGTTTTCTACAGAGCAAAATAAGTTCTTATTAATTATTTATTAATTATTTCACATGCTCTCCAGGAATGGGAGAGTTGATGATCAATTCGTTTGATGTGAAAATCCGCGTCTTTCCGTATTGTCAATCACGAGGCATCAATATTACATTAATTCCGCATTTTTCTCTTCGGTTTATCTAACGTTTTCGCTGATTATTGAGAGCCGAATGAAGCAGCGTTGCTCCCGTTCCTTTGTGCCATAAAGAAAGGGAGAAACTTGAGGTCGTATATCGTTCCATTCCGTCATTGACTTGATAATGTCGTTCAAAGTCAATAACTGAAATATAATTGCAGTATAATTTGACAAAGGGATAGATTGTTCCACCTCTTCTCTTACTTGCATTTTTTTTATGAAAGGGCCTTAATTTTCTTCAGTAGAAATGGCGAGGTCCACAACAACTGACTATTCAAAGCAATGCAAGTGAATTGAGCGCTTAAAATTAGCTCGTAGAACTCCCTACCACACTCACAAACTGATCGTATGCTTTAAAACATGGGAAATTTTCGTATTCAGGCGTACCAGGCGAGCCTCAACTCGACCTGGACTCGAAGCGGACGCACCTGATGAGGTTGTACCTGAACCGATTGTACGAGGCCAAAGTGACGAGACCGCCTCCGCCCAGACTCAAGCTCCCCAGAATTTGAGCCAGGGCTTGCTCCCAAACCTGTTGAAATTTTAATGTTAAGTTTTAGGGATCAAATTCTTCAAGGGACAATAATTTACTAGAGACGACGAGCTTCGTGCATTTTCATTTCAAGTTCCGTTTATTGAACTTCGATCGAGGTACTGGGCTTTGTTGGCAGAGGAATGCAAATACCGATCGAGGCTATATTTTATAGCGTTGCTAATCTGAAAACTCCGTAGGCCACCAAGAGTGTTTGCCTTGTTCCAGATACTGGAATACCTGCTTCGTGGAGTACGAGGTACAGATCATTCGCACAAGAGTTCAACCGCTTGAGAGAGACAGCTACAGAGAGAGGCAGGGAATTGACCTTGATGTTCATGACTTTATCCCATTGGGGGACCATGTAGAAGCGGATTCCGTCCATGGCGCCGGGCAAGGTCACTCCCCGGACGAGAAGAGCCACCATGAGGACGTAAGGGAAGGTGGCCGTGAAATACACCACCTGCAGGATTCCAGAGACACAAGTGCAATGTATCTCGACTGTTCCCACACGAACTCGGCATTCTCGAATGCTCCTCTCGTATCGAGTAAAAGCAGCTATCAGGTGTTCATCCGGGGTCATCTGGATGCAACACGTATGCATGCATGCTTGCCCGGGGGCAAAACTCCTATCTGTGAATCACCATCGCTGGGAGCTAACCTCATACCTCAAAATTTCGCAAATATCGACTTTATTCACAATGATACATTTATGTTACGCGTAAATGACCGCGGAAATTGGAGAGACATTCCAAGAAAACCCTATTAGGGTTCCCTCCCAATGTAAGAAGGCTTAGAATATGGGACACATGCACACTTGTGGTCTACCTTCGTCTTAGTGACTCGGTATCCTGCATATGGCAGGTATCTCATTCACGCCAATTACACGAGGGAAAATAGCATTTGAATCAATGGAGACACAGGGTGGGGAATAACCTCGATGGAATGCACTTGCCTTGCCTGAGCTCCGTATTCCCTTGCAAAGACTTATGAAGATCAAGGCCCAAGCCGCGAAATAGGACAGGACCAGTCGCCATTGAAGAGTCCCCAATTCTTCCAGACCAGATGTGATTCCTAGAACTCCGTGCTTCATGTACTCCTCCGATGCTAAGGGACAGTGAGCATGGACTCGTTTCCCGATTGCATTGGCTTGATGGGTCGATCCAAGGTTATGAGGGGAATTTCATAAGTTCCTCCCCCCCCCGGAAAACTGCGAAAATGAGAATAAAAATAGAAAGTTATCCACAGTCCTATTAAAGTAATCTCCGTTGGCCATGCATGGCACCTTCGGGAAAAAGCGGCCTGAACTCTTCCAGCAGGGAACTCTGCCGTTGCATGACAATGCAAGCCCATATACTGTACCCGTCGGATTGTTCAGGAGCTCCTGTAATGAGTTCCTGCAACTATGACATTTTCCATAAATTAAAAAAAAAAACTGCGTAGCTATCACTTTGAGGACAAGGATGAATTATTGAAGACTGTCGTTCGCACCCGAGCCGGATGTAACCAGGTGCTACAGCACCTGGTTACATCCGGCTCTGCTGACGGAGTCCACAGGCTCCCAGAACGCTGGGAGCCGGTCATTGAGGCCAACGGAAATTATTGAAGGACTCAATACTTTGAAGGACTGTGAAAAACATTTTATTTTAAATCTTATTTTCGCAGTATTCCAGAGGGGGGGGGGGACAGGAACTTATGAAATGCCTCTCATAGATAGCTGAGACGTTATGGTTGAGTAAACTGTAACTTGGACTATGAAACTGAATCGAGATTTCAAGTTCACTGACCTGAGATTCTCTTTTCTGGGGAAATCTCTGAAATTCCTTCCCTCTCTGCAAACGTTGCATCTAAGCACGAGCCATTGAAGTACACGTTAGATGAATTGAGTTCTCTGCAGATTCACTTCTCTGTGTCACTGTAACACCCTTGATATGGAGATAACGATGGCGTGTTTACTTCAAGCATCTCTTTGTAAGCATGAAATTTATGCTATCGCTGATATTTGAGTGGGCCTTTCTTTTGCAACGCCCCATTGGGGTAATTCTTTAAGTGTTCTTCAGATTTTAAAAGGGGTAAGCCCGATATAGGAAAGGATGGAACATGTCGTCTGTACATGTGAAAAGCGGAAGGCATTTTACTTTTATATCGATTTCTTGGAGGCGACTTTGTGGGGAAGAAATTACCAATGGGGTGGGCTCTTAAGCTTACTGATGCAGCAGGGAAAACTTATTCGAGTAAAAATGAGACGTAATTGCGATGTTTCACGTACTGTGGGTGTTGTGGTCTTGACCGCAGTGAGTCCAAGGGAGATCCGATTGGAAGGACACCCCGAAGTAATACAAGGACCAGGCGATGATCATGTTGTAGGCGACGATGACCTTCATCGAATCCAGGAAAGAGGTGATCCCGATTCCTTAAGATGATATTCATGATTTGAGGAAAGTGGTGGAGGCAGATTTAATAAATGCATTCATTCCTGAATAAATCGGAATTAAGCGTTATTAAAATTTGGGTTTCCCTCCGGATGCGGTTTTCCACTTTCGATGTGATGGCTTCCCACAGTCTTACCAGCAAACAGAGGTATCATGTTCGAAAAGCACTTGATCGGAGTGAGGGCCGAGAATTGGCCGATGGTCAATTCGATGAGGAACATGGGGATCCCGACGAGGAAGAGCATGAAGGTGTAGGGAAGGAGGAATGCACCTCCACCATACTTGTAGCAGAGGTATGGGAACTTCCAGATGTTCCCCAGCCCTGTCGAAGGGGAACAGACGAGAAATGTGAAACTTTCTGAAATCGCCTACGTTGTGAATATCCTGGTACGATTAGCCTTCACAGTTTGTGAAGGGTCTGAGCATGGGATCCTGTCATTCGTGAACGCAGAAGGGAAATCTCTCATCGAAAAAGGGATGGTTTCACTACATGTGGAAAGCGGTGGACTCACCCACGGCGAATCCCAGAGCCGAGAAGAAGAAATCCAACTTCCCCGTCCAATGCCCTCTTTCCGTTTTCGTCTTCGCCTTCATTTCTCACTTGGAACGATAAAAACTCGTCGAGAGGAAAAAAATCCTTTCCTGTTCTCATTCGGGATGAACACACGTGATATGCCAGAGAGACCTCAATCTCTCTTCAATTTATGCGTTCATCGGCTTCAAAAACGATTTCCCTCTCGCAATGCGAGCGTCAGCTGGAGACATGTCCTTGCATCATTTCCCTTCATTCCCTCGTCACTTCCCTCACGGTTCACGGGTCATGTACCCGGTAAAGGCAGAGCGGAATACTATGGGTTTTCCGGTCTACTGTGTATTCAACAGAAGTTCGATCAAGTTCGGGCACGTCCTTTTTAATATCGGCAGGAACTGTCTTTTCTCCCTAGTTTCCTTCTCGATTTCTGCAGCAGTTCTCTCATTTCCTGCTGAACTCTTTCGGTTTCGTCAGGCCGATCCGACGAAGGCAAGGCGTCAGACCGTTGCAGTCATTCTTTGGGATTTTCCTCTTGGGTGAAGGAGGCATGTGGATGTACTTCCTGTGGAACTCGATGCGTTCAGCATCCGTTCGAGAATAAGCCGCTTTCACGAAGAGGTTCTTGCGAGGGCGGAGCAGGGCAGCGTCAAAAGTCTGTTCGCTGAAACGTGCAGAACGCTTCTCTTATCTCCAGAAATGTGATTGCCGCCAGACAGAAGCGAGTCATCTCCGAAGTCATGGAAGTTCTCCAAACAAGAACGGAAAGCACCGAGACATACTTGGGAGAATTGTTTCCCATTCTTGATGGTGTTCATTTACATTTTTTTTTTTACGGACAGTGTACTTTCAGGAAGAATCTGAATTAATGGGGTAATGTGTTTTGTCCAGCAGGGAGTAGTTGCAGAATTTGTGAAGTAAGATCAAACTTAGCGTGGTATGTCCTCTTGCAACTTCAAGTTGCATCTGCGAAAGTAGCAATTTTTGATGGATTCAGTGGGGTTTTACAAGACTTTCAATTTATTTCAGCAAGCTTCCTGACATTCATTGTCATTAAGCAACAATTCCAAGGGTTTCATGACTTCATGAATGCCCTCGAAATTCTTTAATGCTATCTTCAGTTCAAATGCTCTTGATTTAGTGACTCCTAGGCAGACAAGTACGACGAGGATAATAAATTAATTATGCGTTTAGTACTTGCCTAGCTGGAAAAACCTCATGAGATCTCCTTGAGGTTTGGGAACAAAGGTCTCATGAGGTCTGACAACTTTCTCATGTGAAACTCACGACGAAGTTATGAGGCCTCATGAGATCCTCATAACCCTCATGAAGACATTTCAGAGTCTCATGAGGATTTCGGCAGATCTCATGAGGAAATGCGAGATCTCATGGAAATTCATGAATTTTTAATGAGCATTTATCAACAGGGTGTCTAGGGATGAGGCTCCTCATCCGTTGAACGTTCCCGTCACTCCTTCACAGAAAGAATAGCCAGTTAAGGTACCAAAAGCATTCTTTTTTTGTTTAGGGGGAGGGTAACTAGTGGAGGTGGTGCTTTGAGTTACTCCCACGGAGATGTTTCTTATCGTCCAATCTGTAAAAATTGTTTCGGAACCCGAGGTTCCTCGTGGCTACGAATATTGATTTGTTTGCCCAAAACTCCATTGAACCCAATCATCGGTCAATTTTTCTCTGGCAACGTTTCAAGAGGCCTCACAAAATAATTATGCAGATTTAAACCCTGGAGAATTTCAACATATAGTGAATGCATTTTTGAACAGATTGACATTCCAACCATAAATATTTAACCAAAAATAGTATTAATTCAAAAAATGCATGATTTCCCTAAAAACCCAAGATCCCTCATAATAAAACGTTAATTTAGCACGCATATATGACAAAGGTTTGTGCATAATGAACGTCAGCGATTTTTTCTCTGGCGAATATGTTTTTTTTTTAATTAAATAATCTTCAGCGAAAAAAGAAAGATGCAAAATAATTCAGATTCATTAGCAGCACCGATGGTACTGCTAGTACTGAGACTTGGCAGGCTCCGTAATCGCTTGATATCATGTAATGCTGGTGATTGCCTGGTGGTGAACATTAGCTCAAATTCGCATGTAAACCTGAGAAAATATATTTTAACATGATATTCTACCATGCAGTGAGAATGCTCCGGAAAACGGCTGAAAATTCTTGAGAGTCTTGAGAGTCAATCCAAATGTGTGGGCGCACGGCCTTAAAGGGTTTCAGATATTTCCATATCCTGTGAAGATGCAAATGAATCGTTCAAGACCATCATTGGGGACCCACGTTGGGGACCCACATTGGGGACCCACATTGGGGACCCACATTGATTGTGGCAGAGTGATGGAACTCCATAAAAATATGAGAACTGATGTTTTAACCCTCTCCCTCCCCACAAAGCGGGAAACACTCCACAAATGCCAAACCGGGATGGGGTAAGGGAAGGGGGAGGAGGGAGGGAGAGAGGAGGGAGGGAGAGAGGAGGGGGCGAGGGGGAAAGAAGATAATGTCAGGATGAATGTCTTGCGGCTGTGAGTCGTAAGAAATCAACCAAACAAGGCGATCGACCATCTCGGATTCGCGATTAAAAAAATTCTCAGCGATTGCAGTCAATCTAAAGACCCCCTTAAAAAAAGGAATCGGCTCCATTGGGTCAGCAGTTGGCGAGATATCGCCCCTCAAACTCTGGGGGAAAACCGAAAAATCCCATGGACAGCAAAATTTTCATCTCCATACATCCTTAGAGTTTGAACGAGATTTCAGCATCATAGTTGAGTTCGAAAATTTGAGCTATAATGACCGTCAAATATCTCTATCTAGCGAGTGAAAAGACAAATCTCTCGTTACGGTAGGTTGAACTCCTCTTTCGGTTGCATCAAAAAAGCAAGTTACTTGTTAGACTTTTTGAAAAATTAAACTTAAAAAGATTGATGATTAAACTTTAAAAAATGAAAAAGAGAAAAACACAACTGTGTTCAGCCATTCCATCAAAAGTAACTTTTTTTTTTAGTAACCGAGGTTTGTAATTTTTCTCCCTTCGTTTCATCAAAAAAGGCACTCCAATTTATATTTCGTTGGAAAGATCTCGGGCTCATCTTGGAGACACTGCGCATGATACCGTAAGTGCTCCGCCGCATTGAAAAATGCTAGACCAAAGATGACCAAACATGAGAAAATTCCAAGTATAAGTTTATTTTTTCTCTATGTAGCGGACAAAAAGTCGAACAAGTAACTTGCTTTAATGATGCAACCGAAAGAGGAGTTCAACCTACCGTAACGAGAGATTTGTCTTTTCACTCGTCACATAGAGATATTTGACGGTCAACAAAGCTCAAAGTACACATTTTCGAGCTCAAGTATGATGCTGAAATCACTTTCAAACTACAAGGATGCATGGGGATGATTGTGCGTCTATCGAAGAGCTTCGATTCAAGCTAGTGCACGTCTCCGTACGATGAACGGTTCCTGAGATGAAGATTGTGCCGTCCATGGGATTTTTCCGTTTTCCCCCAGAGTTTGAGGGGCGATATCTCGCCAACTGCAGACCCAACGGAGTCGATTCTTTTTTTTTACGGAGTCGATAGACTGACTGCAATCGCTGAGAATTTTTATCGCGAAATCTGAGATGGTCGAGCGCCCTGCCCGGTTGAGTCCGCATGGAATGACTCCTGTGCAAACTTATTCGCAGGCAGAATTCATTAACTGTAGCATGCAATCTGGGGATGCAGCATCCAATCCATCGCGTGGTGACGGTCCAGAGGATTCTTCCGCTGAAGCTTTTTGATTCGCGTACCATCTCTCTTTTGGGGTGGTGAGAACCTTCCATCTCTACCGGAAGAAGGTATGCAAAATTAGATTATTAAATGTGAAAATATCTTATTTTTTTCTCCTATATGTTGAAACCCTGCTGAAAAATCTCATGAGATCCTCGTGGAGTTTTCGAACAGAGGTCTTATGAGATCTCACAGCTATCTTATGAGAAACTCACGAGGAAGTTATGGGGCCTCATGAGAACCTTATGAGTTTCACATAAGACCTCATAGGATCCTCGTAATCCTTATGATGACGTTTCGAAGCCTCGTGGGGTACCTCACAATACTCAGGAATTCGGCAGACATCATGAGAAGGTCGTGAGATCGCATGAGAACTCATGAGTTCTTAATTAGTTTTTTTTTCCAGTAGGGAAGGTCTGGTTCATGTAGTTGATCAAAGATAATAAAAACGCACTAAAAACTAATAAAATAAAACTACATTCTGTAGTCTTAGATGCATCATCCAACAGTGGCGACCACTTCAGTTTCAGAAAGTAATGCAGAAAATGGGATTTTTGTGTAATGCCTGATCTGCAGGGCCTTTAAGGTGCCATGGTCCGATTCCTTAAATTTTACAAACGAGACAGAATTTCTTTTGATAGAGCGAGTTTAAAACTCTACATCAAGTTTCCTTTCCAAATTCTGCTTCACCTTAAAAAAAGCATATTCCTAGCTGCTCCAACATCTCATCCGACACGAACTGAAGTCATTATAGACTAACCTGGTTCCATGGAACATGGCGGTACGCCCAGAAGGTCTGGTAGAAAGCAGCGAAAGGAATGGCAGACAAGGTGAGAAGGGCAGTGAACCAGCCGAGAATGCGGGCAAAGGCTGGGTATTCGTAGCCTCCTATTGTCAGTGGACTAACGTAACTGCATGACCAGATGAATATCACCTGCAGGCGAAGTTCAACATCCACACGTAATAGGAAGGTGGGACTTGACGGCATGTATATTCAATATTGACGAAATATTGACATGCATTGGACAAAAGAGGAAACTGCAGCTCACCAACAAGACCAAAGGAGTTATTGTGGTGTAGAGTGTGATTAAATGGCTTCTCAACTTGGGGCCAGGTTTGAATCCAGTCATCTCCCCCAAGGCTATGAAATAGAGACCCAGAAACGAAAATTTATATTTTATTTTTCTTATTGCTCAATCTTTCCTTAGATCAGTCATCCCCTGCCAACGTGCATCATACACGCTTCGAAAATTCCAAGCCTTTAGGGAGTAAAAACTGAGCACTATATGAACTATTTCAAATGTACTCTCTTATTACTTGCCAAATGCTCCCTCATCGCTCGCAGTGAAGTGAACATCTAGAAGTTCTTCGCCAGGCCATTAGATGGAGGTAAGGGTAAGTTTTTCGCACAGTACACAAAAGTTCCCATCCTTCTTACTCTGGAATCGTCCCTCGCAGGATTGTTTTGCACCTCGACATATGTCTCGCCTAGTTTCATCATAGGAATCGATAAACACGGACTTTCCATCATTTGTCATCCAAATATTCAAGACTGAATCATAGAGCCCAGGACATAAAGAAGTTCATATTCCTGATGAGAACCCTTTTGAAAGTCGGAATGGTTTTGATCCGCCGAGGAGATCTAGAATACAAAGGGGGTGTCCATCAACTCTATCCTATCACTTTCTCAACTTGATGAGAGAATGAGGAAATGACGGACTGATGTCGCGGACGCATCGTGGAACCATAAGAGGTGGTCCATCCTCTGACATGTACTGTAATCAGTGCAGTCAGAGGTAGGTAAACGTCTGTACTGCACGAAAGCGAAAGCGGAACAAAGGATATATGAGGATTTGCGTATTTGCATGACATCCCTATCTTTTTCTGAGGGGAGGGTTTTTACTCATGGAGGTGGAGAGCAATGTTACTCCGTGGTGATGGAGCAAATTCGCTCCTTTCCCTGAGTGAAAGGGGAGTGAAACAGGAGTTAGCGATTTTACTATCTTTTTTGAGAAAAATCGCTCCCCATTTTCTAGGAGTGTATCATTGAAAAGTCAGGAAACCTCAGAAATTGACATCACTTTCATCCAACGATTGAAGCCGATATAATGAGACCGGTGCACCACCTCGATAATTGTGACTCCTTGCAAACCATAACACATTTTTGAACCGCGACAAGGTCGTCGATACGCTTGTTTGATGGATCTTTGTAAACGAGTTCTCCAGCTTGAGACGAAACGGGATGATGAATTGCTTCATTCGAGGTTTACGACTGGTGCACACAGTGTAATGCTCAGTGGTCACCCACCCATCTCTCATTTGTGATGCTAGTCAGATAAGGACTTGCACCAGAATGTCCAACAGTCCAATGGCGTCGCAATAATTGCAGTTGATATAATAATATTGACAAATGAAAAATTCAGTCCTAGAACTTAAATTTAGCCCCATGGAAAAAAGATAGCGTTGGTAAAAAATTAGGAGTGAACTTTAAATTGCAATAACTGTGGAATGGCTGTGCGCCTCATATTTGGCAGTCATTTGGCCAGACAACATCGACAGGTAGCGTTGGATCCACAAAATGCAACGCGTCGCCAAGGCCTCTTGACACTCTGGATGCAGACCCTTCCCTCGAACTTCTGCATCAGATCTTTCAAAGTCCTTGCGTCAGTCGTAATGTATAGCCCATGTCCATAGCAACAGCGAACCGGACGAGGCGCTGTCGTCGGACGGGCATGTTGCCTTGCTCATGCGAGAGAAGAGGAATTCTGTTTCGTGAAACTCACCCGATAGGAAATTTTCAATGCCGTAAAAGTACACGACGGAGACGAGGACGATGGCTTGCATGAAGATTTTCCTCGGTGCTTCAGCATAGTAGTCCAAGAAGTTCATGATGAATGTCCCGCCCTGGAGAAAGGTATCAGGAACCGGTGCGAAGAAAGACGCATATTCAGAAAAAATTTTCTGGTTTAGCCAAACAACCACTTTAAATTTCGCTGGAAATTTTTTGGAAATCCCCACAAGCGCAACGAAAATTCATTGAAATCCATAAAAATGACACGGCTTTGCACGGTGACGACAGTTTTGAGCCGCGGTTGTCAGTGAAGAATCTCTCTTTTAATAAAGTTATTGCACATTTTCTTCGAGAAAGTCCGCTCTGTCTGCCTAAGACAGCTGCACGATCGAAACTAATGCGATACAGGGTTGCAGCAAAAGCGTACTAGCTTCTCGTCCCGTCGTATGATGGGCGAAAATAGTAAAAATGTCACGTACAAACTTGAAAATGCTTTTGCGGCTATACCATATTAGGAACAATCCAAGCAGTTTTTAATATTGAAGACAAGGGGAATATGCATATCTCCTGAACCATACATTACTGTAGCAATGCCGATTTCTAGATGTAAAAATTTACACAATGGCGCTTGTTTTTCTCCGCTCCCTATAATAGGCATACCATCATTATATGAAACTGTAAAAGCAACACCGTGGGATTTAACTTGGGAAGGTTTACTACTTAGACGAACTTGAAGCGTAAAATATGACTTAAATCGATAATTAAAAAAAGAAATGTCATTTTAAGGTTTATCTTCACATTCCACAGCTATGCACTAATTTGAATGGATAAAATATGTTACTGAGTACGCTATATCATAATTTTAATATACAAATTTTGTTTTAGTATATGTTTTTATTTGACTGAAAATGATATTGTCTCATCTAACGCAACAGCGCTGGTTTTATTTATTTATTTATGTTTCTCACACGCACGAATGCCGAGGATTCATCTATGCATGTGCGACGAATCCAAACAGTGACCGGGCATTTTAGATCTGTCCTTTAGCCACCATCCCGTGGAAGGTTCTTTCTTTAATCTGAAGCAGCATGAACAGGATCGAAGAATATTGTGATTCGATGTTGCTATTCTTTAGGAAGGTGGAGGGGGGAGGGGTTAGGTTGAAGAAAGGGGAATCCCCCTCAAAAAGTGTTTTCACAATACTTCATTTCATTTTCTTTGTCGCGCTCGACGAAACCAAATCATACGACTATAGGACGGAATGTTTTTGATTCCGTGAGGATTGGGACCCCTTGTTATAAAAATTATGTGAAAATATATCATTTGAAATTTATTTTTTTCCCATTGAACGTCTGGGGAGGAGACGAAGCACCAGGGTCTCGCCCTCCACGACGGGTTCCGGCAGTAATTGTGCTGAGACCAGGAATCCAGATTGAGAAATTGGTCATCGTAGACGGTAGTGTTGGAAAAGTCAGGCGGTGTTCCATAGGGCATGGTGTACCAATACAGGCAATCCTTTCCCGATTCCGTCTTATTCACCTTCCCTACGTATTCTCTTCCCTTCTTATTTTCGCAGAATTTTTATAACAACGGGTCCCAGTCCTCACGGAATCAAAAACATTTCGTCCTATAGTCGTATGATTTGGTTTCGTCGAGCGCGACAAAGAAAATGAAATGAAGTATTGTGAAAACACTTTTTGAGGGGGATTCCCCTTTCTTCGACCTAACCCCTCCCCCCTTCCTCCCCTTCCCCCTTCCCCCCCCCCCCCCATCCCTTCCCCTTCCCTCGCTTCTCTACCCCAACAAATGAGAGCTTTGGAAAGACGCTAATAGAACGTTCGCTTCAAAAACTCAAACGCCATTCCAGTATTGCAGCGAACGTTACTCCAACGTCGAAACGCCCTTTTTAAAGAGCTCAAAGCAGCGTTAAACCCGAAAGCGTTCGATGAACACTACTCCTACGTTCATCATGACATTGAATTAAGCGTGCCTTCGTAACACCAGGGACGCTCAATGGATGTTCGATCCGTTGTCGGAGTTGCTCCGATTTGCCGAGAATTCCATCAGGTCAGAGTTCACCTCCTCTTGAGGGTTTGGGCACGTCCCGCACTGGACTCAGCTCAAAACGTTGTTACACATTGACATGGACTAATCCTGTAGGCTTCCAATGGAGTCAACTTGGAAATTGAAGGATTCTCCCTCCGTCCTCCGAGCCTGGAGACACCCTGAACTGTATTACCTCCTTGGAAACCAATTTGTTGAAGAATTCAAATGTCTTCCCACGTGGGGTCTGTGGAAAAATATCGGGCACCGTGTGGAAAGTTTCGGGGAACTAAATTGCAACTGAATGAGATTTCCTTTAGCGGCTACTTGGGCGCCATCTCGCTTCGATTGCACTAACCTTCGTTTGCTCGAGCTACTGCCAGATTGCAGGCCTCAGCCCCGATCAAGTAGCACAGATTTGCAAAAAGAAAAGCCTTTTTAAGGTTCAACAAATGTCCTTCAGAAACGTTATGAAGGACATGTGAATTGAAACGGAAGCTTAACTGAATACCCCAAGGATGCTCATCCGTGAATCAATTTCCAGGTTGAATGTCTTCTAGAACGTTGATGTGTCACTTTGGGATGGCTGAGCTTGGTCGTTTACTATTTTGTCCATGTAGTACTCGATCATTTTTGCTAGGAATCCATGCAGTCGACAAAAACTGTACTCGAGCAAACTTAGAAGACGGGCATGCGCATTGATGTGATTTGTCTCGACGTTTCCTTAACGCTTGTCCAATGCAAGCGCACAACGTTGAAGTTTTGAACGTAGTTTTGAACGTAGTGTGGACGAAGTGTTGGGCGTAGAACGTTATCATAGCGTTGCTTCAACGCTCTTATGCCAACATTGCTTGGAGCGCTTTCAAGAGGTACATTTTATCTTCATGTCAACGTTGATTCCATGTTACGGAAGAAAAATGGATCTGAACCCTCGACTTAAGGGTTGGCTGTGACCATTAGCGCGTTATACCATCCCAGTCTCAAGCAGGCATGCCCGTAAAAAAAAAGTCGTGAAGCAGTCGAAAAGTCGAAAAGTGAAGCAGTGCCCCAATAGCGTGAGTGTTGCGAATGTCGGCACTGGGAGTAATCTCGGCACTGCGATCGTCAGCATTCTGCTTCCACTACCTACTCCCGACCCACTTCTACTCCCCCAAGTATGGGGAGACATCTATTCTCAGATGGTGGAACTATTGTTGTCGACCTGTGCTTGGAACAGCCGTATTTCCTGTTGAAGTTTTTTCGCAGTGGCTGCCTTCTCGAAAAGCACTCCGAAAATTCCGCCAAACCTAGTGATTTTGCTATTCCCGTTCCAGTTTAGTGAACTCACCATGATGTGACTGGATATGTTCTCGACGATGACGAACGCCGAGTCCAGTCCCAGGGTGATGAGCATCAAGAAAAAGAGAATCGCCCAGAAATTAGACGCAGGGAGTTGGGCTATGAGTTCGGGATACGCGATGAAAGCCAGGCTCGTCCCATCCCTCGCGACCTGCCGAGGGCAAGCGACCTTCACGCCTTCCAGTCATTCCTCCCATTCGCCTTCCCGGCCTCGACGGATCGCCTGACCTGATCGACGGGGACTTCCAGCTGATGCGCCATGAAGCCGAGAGTGGAAAATATGGCGAAGCCTCCAAAAATGCTGGTGAAGCTGTTCCCCAAGCTCACCATCCAAGTATCCCTGCAATTCAGGTGGCATGCGCATGCTAAATTAATTGAGCAATCATTGAGCTTCATGGTTTCCTATTATCTACTTCCTTATGAGAAATCGCACAGGGGCCAAAGCGTGAATTACAAGAACCTCTTCCAATGTTCTACTAGCTTTGACTCGGTCAACACCAATAGGTCATTGGTGAAATGAAGTGCTTATTACTATGTTAAAAATTCAGAATAAATCCTATTTAAACGAATTTTCATCAGTTATCTCAGCTCATGAAATATGAAAATTTCGCAACAGGATGCAAGAGAATTGCAAGAATGCTGATGGTATTCGGAACGTCACCAGCCTTCGCTAAAGTATTTCACGAATTGTCGCCCAAAACACGTTCGCAGTCCATTTATTCCTTCCGCCCTTCTGTCCTTTCGCTTTCAATAGTCGTAGCAGCTATCAAGTCGTCTGAAGGTTACCCATACCGATTTAAGATGGTGCTTTGCTTGTAAGATATGGTTCGTGTCACAAGTGGGACACTTTGTTCATATCACCCTGCATGTCTGATGCCTATTAATGTATCGTAAACTTCCGCTTGTGATATGTGATGAGACAGAAACACCTGAGACTCGCACGGTGTCGGATGGAAATATAATTTAAAAATATTCAAGGAATTTATTCATAGGTTAACGGTATATATTTTTTTTATTATAAATAAACACCGTCAACCTTTTTCTAGATACGCAAGTGCTGCGACCCGGAAGACCCGCAGAACCTGACTCGAAAGGGACGCACCTGATGAGGTTGTACCTGAACCGATTATACGAGGCCAACGTGATGAGCCCTCCTCCGCCCAGACTCAAGCTTCCAAGTATTTGCGCCAGGGCTTGCTCCCAAACCTACGAAAGCAAAATTATCTCTGTGAATCGCTTTTCCATCCTGAAACTTTATTCGTGGAATTCTTCGACCCCGAGGGACAAACATGAGAGAATTTCTCTTCTTAGAAGAACGTGAGACATTTCCGACTAACCTAATTGATTTCTTACTCATGTTCTGACTATCGTAAATTGAGCGAGGAATTATTTTTTTACTGGGACAGAGCTACACTTGCCAGCCAAGGTCAAAGGATCCAAGGCCAAAAGTTATATTTCATAGCGTGTGACTCATCTGGCGGCTACGTTTACTTCCAAGTGCGTACACCTGTTCTAGAGAGTACGGTGAGTACGGCCATTCACAAATGAGCTCGACAACCTTAAGGCAAAAAGAGGTGAAGACTCGACCTAATCGAGAAATGGCGAGGAAGAGGATCTCGACCTTGATGTTCATGACTTTGTCCCATTGAGGGACGATGTAGAAGCGGATTCCGTCCATGGCGCCAGGCAAAGTCACTCCCCGGACGAGAAGAGCCACCAGGACGACGTAAGGGAAGGTGGCCGTGAAGTACACCACCTGTACGATTCCAGATATACCATTCTCAAATGGGAATGCATACTCGACGGTTTCCACAAGAACTTCATGTTCTCAGAAATTTCACCCATTTTGGGTAATGCAGCTGTCCATTATCCATGGTCATCTAGAGGGGCAGAAAGGTCTGAAAGTTTACCTGGCAGTCAGATTTCGTCACTGACGGCCGATTGGCCTTATCCTTCATATTCTCCCAAAATTTAATAGCATTTCACTTAAGCCAAAAGTTATACAATCATATTACGTGAATGTTCAAATAGGAGGCATCAAGGGAAGAAGCTAATTAGGGCCTCCTTAATGAAAAAAGGTATGAAAAAGGAAATGATACAAAATAGTGGGCTGTCCAACTCTTCGTGACCCGCTAAATTGCATAAACTTATTGTCATAGACGCTGCGGATAGGAGGGAAGGCAGCACGTGAATCAAAGAAGACCCTGGATGGAAAAAATCTATTGGGAATATGTTTACCTTCCCTGAGCTACGAATCCCCTTGCAAAGACATAAGAAGATCAAAACCCAAGCTGCGAAATAGGACAGGACCAGTCGCCACTGCAGAGTCCCCAGTTCTTCCAGACCGGATGTGATTCCTAATACGCTGTGCTTCATGTACTCCTCCGATGCTGTGGGAAAATGGGAGGTTCATGCAGTCTCGTTTGCGTGTTGCTTCGGCTTGATGGATTCAAGGTCGTGTGGCAGATTCGAGGTAAGATAGTCGCTGACCTGAGATTCTCTCGCCTGGAGGGATCTCCGAAATTCCTTCCCTCTCTGCAATCGCAGCATCGAAACAAGTCCCGTTGAAGTACACGTTTGAATCATTGCGTTCTATGCAGAATCGTTTCTCCGTGTCGCTGTAACACCCTGTATAAGAGGAAGATGGGGCATGCATTCAAAATCATAACTCTGCATAACAGGGAAATTTTATTATTCTGTTGTTCAAAATAGATATTTTCGGCGGGCAAATACTTCATGCAATTTCGGCATGTCAAATATCATGTCGTTTTAATATGCAATTATTTTCCTCCAATGAAGAACGATAGGGAGACCCGTTCCTCCGATATTTGTCCTCTGAGAGTACGTGTACATGAATATAATTCTGATTTCATATAATTGCAAATTGAAATTGAACTACGAGGTATCTATGTTTTAAGGGATTCAGCCTTAATCCAGAAGGCTATTCCATGTTAGGGTCAAATTCAATCTGTTTATCTCTGGCGAGTCTTATATGATCAAAATGCCCACAACCAATTGCCAAGGTCAGTGGTGCGTTTTATGGAGCTTCTGCCTGTTACTTAAGAAATAATTCCAGGTCCGAATGAGAAGCATGTGACAATTGACTCACGTTGCGTGTTGTGGGCTTGACCGCAGTGAGTCCAAGGGAGATCCGACTTGAAGGACAGGCCGAGGTAATACAGGGACCAGGCGATGATCATGTTGTAGGAGACGATGTCCTTGATGGATTCGAGGAAAGAGGTCATCCCGATTCCTTCGGAGGATTTGCACGAATTGATAACGGATGCGGTTTTCTACATGCTATACGATCGTATCATTCCGTCTCACCGGCGAGCACAGGAGCCATGTTCGAAAAGCACTTGATGGGGGTGAAGGCTGAGAATTGGCCGATGGTCAATTCGACGAGGAACATGGGGATCCCGACGAGGAAGAGCATGAAGATGTAGGGAAGGAGGAATGCACCTCCTCCATACTTGTAGCAGAGGTATGGGAACTTCCAGATGTTTGTTAATCCTGTCGAAAGGAACAGACAAGAAATCTGAATGCATTTAAAATCGTGTTCGTTGTAAATTATTCTTAAACGTCGGTCGCCTCCAGCGTACCTACGTTATACCTTATCAAAGGTCCAGAGTACAATTGGATACACGGAGCCTGGTTTAACCTTCATCAAATGGGTTTAAATCTCTCTCAGAAGCGCTGACAGCCGGATTTTTCCTCCGAAGCTCTTAAGCATTCGCTAGCTGAGTAGTGCAACTGTCCTAAAAATAAACTGTTGATAGTGAAGTCATTGTTGACGGAGTATCAGAACATTTTCCCAAAATGTTGCAGTAGAGCACTTGTACCTTCAGGCAATGGAAAATGCATTCTGTGCCACAACAGTTGTGGCATTCGGCCGATAAAGGTTAAGGAGAAGAATTTGAAGAAAAACCTTTTGAAGTCTTTGGTATGCCTCGAGTGAACGTGACGGACTCACCGACAGCAAATCCGAGTGCCGAGAAGAAGAAATCGCACTTCCCCGTCCAATGCCCTCTTTCAGCGGTCTTCGTTTCCCGTCTTACGACGTTAGGAATATGAAGACAATTAGACCGGAGATAAATATTTTCTTCCCAGGCACGGACCCACGCACCCAGTCTCCTGGACAGTGCATTCCACTTTCTCCAAGGACTGGTTGCGTAGGATTATCGCTTCCATCTCCTCTCGTCTTCATGCGTGCATTGCATCCGCGAAAAACCTGAATGCAATCTCTGACGTGGCACCCGCCCTTCCCCTTGATCATTCAAATACTTCATTGATAGGGCCGAAGACCGGTACGAGGGCGTCTTGGCGAGCGTCTGCCGAAAGTAGCCATTAGATGAGCATGAAAAATATGAAGGCCATTAGATAAGTATGAAAATTATGATCGCTATTTGATGAGTATGAAAATATGATGGCCATTAGATCAGAATGAAAAATTGTCCGCACATGGCTGGACGAGTTTGCGCTCACGTGATACGGCTTAAAACTATCCAAGCATTCATGAAAATGACCGAAGTCCCAGATGGCAACGCAATGATGATCATGATTTCATGAGATTGGATTATGAGTCTCTATCATCAGTATGAGGTACTCGATGATGCATTGAGTGATTCATGATCCCATTCGCACGAAATAATCGCAGAAATCCCCAATCTGCATCTCAACGTCCCAAGTCTCTCTGGGAACCATATTTGGACAACCTCGGTATTCCTTTTTTTGGAGCAGGGATGTCCGCATGAAAGACCATGAAGATGCCCGAAGAGTGTCCCCGCAGGACACTTTCTTACCATATACGAGGTATGCTTCGCTATCGACATCAACACATCCTGCGGCTATCCCAAGGCGGAAAAATCACGTCCGTAGGACATGTCCCATAGAAAGTGTTAAGCAATATTCCCAAAGACATCCGGAGCGTAACTTAGGGGGAACTCGTGTTCCGATAATGGATTTGAGATATCACTCTGGTCGTGGGTGATTCTATACTCAGACTCAATGGAACACATCCGACAAAAAATTCTTTCCCCCCCCGTCCCTCTTCTAGAGTCGAGTAAGAAAGGAAACAATTATTTACTTTGTTGTCAACGGCACTGCTGTTTTCTTGCAACAGACACTTTGTTCATGTGAAGGGACGAATCTGCACATCTGTAACTGATCATGTACTCTCTGCACACTCTCCATTCGTGTCGACGACCTTGTTCTATCATTCTGGAGGGAGCACGCGCGGTCGGGAATCACTCACGAGCATCAGTACCCTTACGAAAATGTCTTATAGGATTCCTATAGGAACCTAAAGGAATCCTATAGGATCCTATATGCCCCATCACAAAAGTGCCCTCCCCTTACCCAAGGAATCATCTCTCACAAGAGAGTTTTGTACGTCCCCAAATGTCGCGCCTTGCCTCATTGTAGCAATCAATAAACTTCGACAGTTGCTTATTTGTCATCCCCATCTTCCAGATAGAATCATGGAGTCCCGTGAAGAAATATGCCCTCATTCCTTTTGAAACGCACGTAAGAAACTGAGTAGCCTCTATCCAAAAGGAGTTTGAGTAAAGAGACTTACTCGCAGGTTCTGTCTTCTAGTTCCTTAGGTCGAGAGAAGAATACTACTACTTTCTACCGAAGGAAGTAGACGTGGAATCCAGCGACATATGTGCGGTAGGGCCATAAATTATGCCGTTTTACTGGTATTAATAATCCATGTGTCCCTACCATGGAGAAGCCCCTAATCGGGTTTTTTATTTACACCGAAATGCTGTGCCATTATTAACCCCGGTCGCCTTTTCCGTCGTAATGCATGGGTTTCGAAGCCAAAATATCTTCCCTGAATCCTATAGGTCAGGAGTCCTATAAGACCCTAAGGGATCCTATAGGTTTTTCGTGTTTCAAAAACCTATAGGAAAGTCTATAGGTTTCCTATAAGAAATATCTATAGGTTTCCTATCGGACATTTCCGTAAGGGTAAATAAGCGGACAACTGGAGACTTAAAAGGAGTCTGGCAATATCATCGAGTGGGCGAACCGTAGCATTGACGACACCACGAAGGCGGAAAAAGACAAAGAAACCCCTAAATGACTTCGAGATAAGCTGGGAGGACTTAAATACCCCGACGAACCCGGTAAGTTCGACAGTCACCTCCACTCTCCTTCCACCTCAGCGTCTCCTCTGGGTCACCGGCTGCAAGTCAAGTTTGGCTAGTCTCTGCATTTATTTCAATACCGACTTTTTATGATCATTTTTCCACGCATTGCAGCAGGCTTTTATAATCTATTGTGTTGCTCAACATCGTTTACAAACTTCAGAAAATCACGCTGGTTGCAATTCTGACCGCATACATCAGAAGAAGCGTGTCGTAAAGGGCTCTATGCTTGTAATTGTAAAATGAGAACTGGATGAAATCGCATGACTGAATCGGGCTATTAGTGACAAGGGAACTACGAACTAAGCAATTCACACGTTTTTATATATTTCGTTATTCGTTTACGGCACATTTCTCTTTGTTTTTAATCATGGATAGTGTATGTACAGATCATTTTCAGGAATCGGACTTATGGACAAATATTGGGCTCGTATGAGATAGATCTCAGCTACTTTAGCCCATGAGACGATCATTTTCGCATTCTGCATCAGGGTTCCGACAATCTCTTTATGATCGTCAATCGGCAAACAACTTAGAAAATCGGCAGCTGAAACTCATGCGGTAGATCGAATGTCAGGCATATCCGACAGGAATCACTCAAACGGCATTGCAAGGAGAGTGAACAGGTGTTAAGTGACGCACTAGAGCCTATATCAGCGCAAGTTAATGGGAGCTCTCAAAAGAAACAACTAATACTAGGAAGTTGATAGGAAACTCTGAACATCTCAGCCGCATTCCTTATGTTTCACTCAAAAAATTCCTTAATAAAATCGTCCAAAGATGATTCAGTGAACGATCTTCGTTTGGACAGACTGAACTCGTAGTTCCACAGTCCGGCTTTCATTGCATCAGATCATTCCAAGTCAGGTATAATGATATTCGGAGAGGGGAATGTCCGAAGATATCTCTGTCCAGACTCAGCAACTGAAAAGTCAACTGGAATCATAATCATCAGATTCTGATTCTCTCGCATTGCCTGTTCGATCATCACTGATCACTGATCGTCGCTAGTGTTTCTTCACCTTCGTTCAGCGAAGCGATCTCTTCTGTTCTTGCAGCGAAGATGCGATTCTCAGCAGCAACAGCAGCAGCATGTCTGTTTGCCCTCGTCATGGTGGAATACGCGTCGGCGATCCCCGCAGATCTCCAGTCCCTCAAGGGCAAGGGTCTGAACTGTCAGTGCGGCTGCGAGGACTTTGACGACGAGTGCCGGAACCCCGAGACCGAAGACGAATTCTTCTCCCATCCCGAGGATTGTGGCAGCTTCTGCGCGTGTTACATGGGCACGGCCTACTATTACATCTGTCCGGACGGGCTCTTATTCAATGAGGAGGAAGAAATCTGTGACTGGCCGGCCAACGTGGAATGCGAGGCACCCATGAACCACAACGTATGCCTGGAGCACGGCTGTCTCGACCCATTGGCACCCACGACACCAAAAGGTATGCGATGTCTAAGATGAGCGACCCGCTTCCACTTCCTGTGAAAAAATTGTCATGAATCGGACCATTTTGTTCCAGGAATGGCGGTTGGGGACCTTGCAGGACAAGAGCCAAAACCTAAACCTTGAAGCTCATAGTGGCGAACACCTATTCTGTTCAGTGTCGTAGAAATAAACTATCCTTTATTTGCTCTGGTACATTTGTTGAAAGTTTTTGAATATATCTGGAATTTTTATGGAATGGAATGGTTTCCTTCTAAAGTTGCTTTGGAATTCTGTAGGATTCTCATTTCATAGTATTCTTAGTAGCACGAGATTAGTATACGAATTCCGACGTCTAAAGCAACGGGAAACCCTCAGATCGCCTGCAAAAACAAGCATGTGCAGAAAAATTGAAGTTGATGTTTTAAACGATGGAAAACACGTCTGCACGAGACATTCAAGAAAAGACCATCCTCACGATCGCGCCTTTTTTTTTTAATGACAGTGTCGAAAAAATGACGGCGAACGGCCAGCAGCCAGACTAAGCGACCGGTTTTGCGCGGATTCAACCGCAATTGCATGGAAAACCTTCTCGCGTGGCCCCTGTCTCCTCTCGAAACAGCTCTGGAGAGGCTTCATCGATATTTCAAGCTCGGCCCTCGATCGAAATATCCAACATGATCATCAAAATAAGCACGTTTCGATATCGTTGTTGAAACGGGGTGGCATTTTTGCCCTTAATGTTATGAACTCCAATTCGATATGAGTGTAAAGATTGCGAAGAAAACTTTCTTCCTTTCACAGAAATGCAATATTCGTTGCCGACCCTGGCTACGACCATTGAGTCTTTGCAAGACACAATATTGACGCTAGAATTAAGACTCATGTAACTTTCGCATTCATAGATTGACTTAAAATTACTTTTAAATTCACTATTTAATGTCCAAGAGTCGGAAGAGGCGTGTTTCCGATCAATTAATACATTTCTTACATCGTCGCGGTGCCGAAGGTGCCCACATTGATTGATGGTTCGAAGAGATAAAAAACTGGCTACTTTGTTATTCATGTTGGAATTGTTTCTTTCGGAATGTCTCCAGAGAAGAAAAGAACCTGGCTTTCACTTGCGGCTGGCATGAATTGTTCCCTCGTCAACGAATACGCTTCTCGACGCTTACCTTAACATGCAAAAGACTGGCTTGGATGTTCCCGTCTGTGTGGATCTGCGAGAGCTCCAGCCGCTCTCTGGGCATCACCCCAGGTTTCATACTTGCAATCTTCACTCATATGCCGCAACGGGGATCGGATAATGTTAGTGTTTATTCCCTTCGAGACCAGTCGAGACGGCTTGCGGATGTTTTCGTTCAGGGAATTTTCGCACTACGTCCGGATCTTGGAGGTGCCACACCGAGAAGCGTCTCCAACATTTTAATCGAGATATATCATCCAAAATAATTATGGAGAGTTTGGATACGGGCAAATGCGGAATGACTAAGAAATCAAAATCCTGCACTCCGGCTAAAATTTGAGTTTATTCACGAGATAATTATAGGTATCTTGTATGCATAATCACGAGATCTGATGAACTGCAATTCATAAGTGGTCTAAATGATTCAAGGAAACTTTATCGATTTCTGCACGACATGTGATCATGAGGAATGTAGAAAACAATTTAAAATGGAAATACAATAGTTCCTTGTCGAAAATGGGAGCA